ATCATCACCATCATCATCGGCATCATCATCATTATCGTAGTCGTCATCATCATCACCACCATCATAATCATCATCATCATCATCATCGTCATCATCAGCAGCAGCAGCATCAGCATCAGCATCTTCATCGTCATCATCAGCATCATCATCATCGTCATCATCATCATCAGCATCAGCAGCATCAGAATCATCATCAGAATCATCATCATCATCATCATCATCATCATCAGCATCATCATCCTTCTCCTCATCCTCCTGACCCTCCTCCTCCTCCTCCTCCTCCTCCTCCTCCTCCTCTTCCTCAACCTCATCCCTCATCATACCATTCATCGTCCTCTACCTACTATACCTCCTCCTTATCCTCCGCCTCCTCCTCCTCCTCCTCCACCTCCTCCTCCACCACCTCCTCCTCCTCCTTCTGCTCCTCCTCCTCCTCCTCCTCCTCATCCTCCTCCTCATCCCTCCCTCCTCCCCATCTTTCCTTCCCTCCCTCCCTCCCCCGCCTTCTTCCCTCCCTTGCTTCTCCTCCTCCCCCCTCCCTCATCCCTCACCCCTCCTCCCTGATACGTCATTCCTCATACCTCCTCCTCCTCCTCCTCATCCTCCTCCTCCTCCTCCTCACCCCGAGGACGATCTAGAAGGCGGACCGGGCGTTTCGTTTGGGACCTCCTCACCATGCACGACCCGACGCTCTCAAAGACCAGCAACGGCCTCACGGATGGAGGGCGGCTGGTCCTCAGCCTGAGGACCAGCCGCCCCGGACGGTGGAGGAGGAGGAGGAGGACGAGAATCGAGGATCGAGGATCGAGGATCGAGGATCGAGGATAGATGATCGAGGAGGAGGAGGAGGAGGATCAAAGGTCGAGGCCTGGCAGGAGCTCCACGGACGGAGGGGGGGCTCGTGCTCAGCACGGGGCTCTCGCCTGCGCGCCGCGCGCACTCGTTGACGCCCTGCAGCAGCTTCACGGATCGAGGGCGTGTCATTAGGGGGCCACATGCGAACCCTACCCCTACCCCCCACGATTTCTGAGGGGGAGGCGAAGTGAACCCCACCCTCCCCCTCAGAAATCCTGGGGGGTAGGGGTAGGGTTCGCATGTGGCCTCCTAGTTCTGGCTCAGCATGTGCCTCGCGCCTCCGCGCCGCGCACGTTCGCGTCCAGCATCTGCAAGAGTTCGACGGATTCCCATGGTCAGCATACCACAACGTGTGTTCTGTGACGGTTCTGGATTGTCAGGTCGCAACAACTACGTTGGTTCGCGGTGCCGAAGTCCCAAGAATGGTGCGTTGGCACGCTTCAGGACCTTCAAATGGGTGTCTCCCAACGGGGCACTTCCCGAATGAAGAGAGAGCTTGGAGGGAGGGTGTTTTCCAACATCGTTGGTGGGCCTTGGGCTTACACTGCTCATGCTGCCCCTCCTCCCTCCTCCTCCTCCTCCTCCTCCTCCTCCTCCTCCTCCTCCTCCTCCTCCTGCCACCTCCTCCTCCCCATCTTTCCTTCCCTCCATCCCTCCCTCCGTCCTCCTGCCTCCCTGCTCCCTCCTCCCTCCAACCTCATCCCTCGTCCCTCCTCCCTTATACAACGTTCCTCATCCCTCCTCCTCCTCCTCCTCCTCACCTCCCCCTCCTCTTCCTCCTCCTCCCTCCTCCCTCCTCCTCCTCTTACTTATGAGCAGCTCCTCTCTGTCGCACCCCGAGACGGGCCGGCGGTCGGCAGGGGGCTGGGCGTCTCGTCTAAGACTTCCTCACCAGTTACGATCACGAAGCGTATTTGCAACAGCTTCATGGATAGATGGCGGGCTGTGTTCAAAATGTGGGTCTCGCCCTGGTGCCGCTCACATTCGCCATAAACGTGCACATGGAGCTTCATGGATGGAGGGCGCTTCGTTTTCAACTTCTGGCTCTCGCCCCAGCGCCGCGCACAATCGTCTTAACAGTTTGCAACGGCTTCAAGGACTCGTATGGCAAACGTCCCCGACATTCTGTTTTGGCACGATTTAGAAGTGTCAGGGCGCGACTGCCACGTTGAGTTGCGGTGTTCAAGTTCCAGGATGATTGTTCTGGCAGGTTCAGGATCGTCATGACGCAGCAGTAAAGTTAATTCGCGGCATTGGAAATCCCAGGAGTGGTGCTTTGGCGTAGTTGAGGATGTTCATACGGTTGCCTTCCAACGGGGCACTTCCCGCAGTGACAGTGAATCCTTGCAGGGACCTGTGAAGGGGGAACTTGGAAAGGGACGTTAATTGCAACATCGTTAATAGAGTCATGGGCTTACACTGGTCCTCCTCCTCCACCTCTTCTTCCTCCTCCTCCTATAGAACCTCCTCCTCATCATCAACAACATCAGCATCCTCAGAATCACTTAATCATCATCGTCATCATTGTCCTCATCCTCACCATCATAATCATCATCATCAGCATAATAATCATCATCATTATCATCATCATCATCATCATCATCATCATCATCATCATCATCATCATCCTTCTCATCATCATCATCATCATCATCATCATCATCATCATCATCATCATCAGCATCAGCATCAGCATCAGCATCATCATCATCATCATCATCATCATCATCCGCACCCTCATAATCGTCATCATCATCAGCATGATCATCATCATCATCATCGTCATCATCATCGTCGTCAGCATCAGCATCATCACCATCATCAGCATCATCAGCATCATCAGCATCAGCATCAGCATCAGCATCATCAGCATCAGCATCATCATCATCGTCATCATCATCATCATCATCATCATCATCGTCACCACCATCATAATCATCATCAGTATCGTCATCACCATCACCGTCACCACCACCATAACCATCACCATCACCATCATCACCATCATCACCATCATCATCAGCAGCACCATCATCATCATTAGCATCGTCGTCATCATCATCATCGGCATCGTCGTCATCATCATCAGCAGCAGCATCATCAGCATCATCATCACAATCAACATCACCACTACCATCACCATCACCGTCACCATTACCATCATCATCGTCACCATAATCACCATCATCCTCAGTAGCACCATCATCATCAGCATCGTCATCATCATCATCATCATCATCATCATCATCATCATCATCATCATCATCATCATCATCATCATCATCGTCACCGTCTTCATCATCATCAGCAGCATCATCATCAGCATCATCACCATCACCATCACCATCACCATCATCACCATCATCACCATCTTCACCATCATCATCAGCATCATCATCAGCATCATCATCAGCATCGTCATCGTCATCATCATCGTCGTCATCTTCATCATCATCATCAGCATCATCAGCGGCATCATCATCATCAGCATCATCAGCATCATCGTCGTCATCCTCCACTACCTATTTCCTCCTCCACCCTCCAGCTCCTCATCCTCCTCCTCCTCTCCCTGGCCGCCCTGGATCTCGTTTCTCCGCGCTGGGAAGCTCGAGCGCGGGCTCCTCTCCACGTCCCGCAGCGCCTCGGCCATGGGGCAGAGAGGGACAGGGACAGGAGGTTAGGAGGGCGCCAGGAGAGGAGCAGAAAGAGGCAGGTTGGCCAGGTCAAGTGAGTAAGCGGGCCCCGCCCACTCCCATGGCATGGGGAAGAGGGGCGAAGAACAGGATGTAAGAGGATGAAGACGTGCGACGAGGAGGAGGAAAAAGAAACAATGATCAGGAGCACCTGTAGGATTTGTATACATATATATATATACATACATACATGTATAGTGTTTGATTGTTTATGATCTTTTGTAGGAGGACGAGTGGAAGAGAGAGCCAAGTTAGCCAGATCGAGCGAATCACCCGGCCCCGCTCACTCCCACCTTCCATCGCATAATAGAATAATAACCCATGGTGGCGCACATTGATATTTCGAGACAGGGCTGAACCTAAATGGTGTGTTGCGTTTTCGTTTTGTTATCCTTTTCCCTCGCTTTTGTCTTCCATCCGCCTTTACCGCAAAACGAAGTCGAAACGAAAACGGCCCACGAAATCGCCAAAAACACCGTTTAGGTCCAGCCCTGTTTCGAGAAGAGTCCCGCCTCACAGTACCTCTAGGCTATACAAACGTGCCACGAATGAACGCATGGTTACACACCAATGGCTTTCTCATTCGCGACGACGGCACCACCTTACAGAACCTCTGCACCTGGCAAGAGGTGCAACAATGACCACTTCATTATGCACTAATGGTCTCTGCAATCGCGACCACACGCGAGACATACAAGAAGCGAGACATACAAGAAGCGAGCTGTTCGAATGCAATTCTATCATTCACGGCCCAGCAGTGGGTAAAAAATCATGAGCAAGTCATGAGTGGGCCATTAGTGGGCAATGTGTAGGTCATTCTCATTTTTCTATGTTGGTCGACCGCGACAGACGAACGCGCCTGCAAGCTCGTGGTCTTCCTCAGGAAGGCCCGAGCCTCGGAAAACTGCCATGGAAGCTCATGGGCCCGCGGTGAACCATCGTCCTGGCTGTTATGGAAACTGCGACCAAAACTTGGATAGGCTGCGGCTCTGGGAGGATGCTCAGTGCGCCACTGGAAAATACAGTGGAACGCGGGATCCACGCTGCACAAACGCGGGATTCATGCTCCGGACGGGAGGACGGGAGGACGGGAGGGCGGAGGAGGACCGCCCCGTCTCGCCGCCGCCTCCGGCCTGATCTCTCTCTCTCTCTCTCTCTGTGGCGCCATCTTCCCGAGTTTGGACGTCGACTGTCTTGCCGCACGGCCGACCGACCGAGGAGGAGGACGGAAGTGAAGGGGAACTGGGACACACAAATAAATGCACACAAACAAACATATCCCCTCCATTTGCCCATATCTTCTGGGTTCTTCTTGCCTTCCCCCCCCCCACTTCCCATATCTTCCCATATTTTCTGGGAATCCCCGATTCATTGTGTCTGTGTGTTTTTTTCCCCTCCTGAGGAAGGCGGAGGAGCGAGGGGGAGGCCCTCCGGAGCGGCCGCGGCGAGAGCCCGGCGCGGCGGCGCCTTGAGCTGCCGCTCGTTCTCGAGCAGCAGCCGCTTCTCGCGGCGGAGCCTCTCGAGCTCGTCGTTCTCCTGCAGGGGCGGGGGGAGGGGGCTCGAGGGAGGGGGGATCGTGAGGGAGGGTCAGGGCGGAGAGGATCGAAGGAGGCTCGAGGGAGGGGGGCTCGAGGGGGGCTCGAGGGAGGGGGCTCGAGGCAGTGTCAGGGCGGAGGGTCGAGGAGGGAGGGTCGAGGAGGGAGGGTCGAGGAGGGGGCAGGGTCGAGGAGGGAGGGTCGAGGAGGGAGGGCCGAGGAGGGAGGGTCGAGGAGGGAGGGTCGAGGAAGGGGGGGGGGAGAAGGATAGAGGAAGAAAACGCTGCATCAACTTGGCGGCGAGCAGAGGGGGGTAGGGAGGGGGGAAGGCTTCTTAGAAGGAAGCTGTTTCTTAGAAGGTGCCGGCCTTACATCTACAGAGAAGGCCCGCACCTTCTAAGAAGCAGGGTTGCTTTTCTAAGAAGCCTTCCCCCCTCCCCCATACCCCCCTCTGCGCGCCGCCTATCAACATCGACTTTCGGAGGTCCGCGCAGGTCTTTCGAGTCGGCGCTGGAGCCCCCGACCTTGCGCGCGGAGCGCGCCAGGGGCGGCGCTGGAGGCACCGCCAGGGAGGTCCAGCGCTGGTCCAAGAAATCAGAGCGGAGCTCCGATAACATATTACATAGCACCCCGCAGATGCGGATAAGAGAGAGGGGGCGGTGGGGACGTCGGCAGTCTGCGAGACTTTGAGAAGCCCGCCGCAGGCGCCAAAGTTTAACAAATTATACAGCGAGCCCACCGCAGGCGCCGATTTTTCGGTTAAACCACTGTGGGTAGGTCGCGGGTGGGTCGCGGGTACGTCGCAAATGGGTCGCGGCTGGGTCGCGGGTGGGTCGCGGCTGGGTCGCGGGTGGGTCGCGGGGGTCGCGGGTGGGACGCGGGGTGGGTCGCGGGTGGGTCGCGGGTGGGTCGCGGGTGGGACGCGGGGTGGGTCGCGGGTGGGTCGCGGGTGGGTCGCGGGTGGGACGCGGGTGGGTCGCGGATGGGTCGCGGGGTGGGTCGCGGGTGGGTCGCCGGGTGGGTCGCGGTTGGGTCGCGGGTGGGTCGCGGGGTGGGTCGCGGGGTCCGTCGCATGTGGGTCGCGGGGTGAGTCGCGGGGTGGGTCGCGGGGTGGGTCGCCGGGTGGGTCGCGGGGTGGGTCGCGGGTGGGTCGCGGGTGGGACGACAACAACCTACAACAACAACAGCAACAACAACAACAACAACGACAACAACAACAGCAACAACAATCATTTCACCCTCATGCGCGATGTTTCCACACGAAGCATGCGACCATCATGATAACCATCCCCATCATGGGGGATTCTTGTTCTAACGCGGGATCCGTTATTCCCATTCCCAGATCTCCCGCCCGATGAAGTCTTGCAAACACCTCCTCCAAGAAATTTCAACATATCCCGCCTCGAAAACACATGCCCGCGCCTTGCTGCGCCGATGCGAGACCGCCAGTGGAGCCCCAGCCAAGGGTAAAGCACAGGAAGTATCGAGCGACAGGATTGCCTTGGTGGGGATTGGGGCTGTCGGCGGCGAGGCAAGGACCTGGCCCTGAATAGAAAGGAAAGTCTCGAGCAGGGCCGCTGTTGCTGCTGGGAGCGGCGCCAATGCTGAAGTGAGTAGGGCGCTAGTCCAGCGTAAAACGGGAGGAAGTCTCGAGCGGGAACGCTGGTTTTGTTGGGACGGCGGTTGTCAGCGGCGAGGAGGAAAACCGCCTTGAGTAAGAAAGGAAGAAGTCTCAAAGGAGCCGTGGTTTTGTCGGGACGGGGGCTGTCGGCGGCGAGGAACAGCACCGTCTTGAGGAAAAAGGGAGAAAGTCTCGAGAGGGAGCGTTGTTCTTGCTGGGAGCGGCGCCAATTCAAAAGAGAGCAGGAAGACAGTCCAGCGTAAAACGGAAGGAAGTCTCGGGCGGGAGCGCTGGTTTTGTCGGGACGGCGCTTTTCGGCGGCGAGGAGGAGCACCGCCTTTAGTAAAAAAGCGAGGACGTCTCGAGTGGGAGCGTTGTTGTTGCTGGGGGCGGCGCCGATGAGAGAAAGACTGGCGCGCCAGTCCAAGGTAAAACGGGAGAAAGGCTCGAGCGGGAGCGCCGGTTTTGTTGGGACGGCGGCTTTCGGCGGCGAGCAAGGGCACCGGCCCTCTCGAGCTGGAGCATTGTTGTCGTTGGAGGGGCTGGTTCTGGCGCCCCGCCAAACCGCTCGAGCGCGAGCCTAATTCTCAATGAAAATGTAGGCGGCGCCGAGGCGAGAGCGCCAAAGCGCCTGGGGGGAGTAACCTTCAACAGCAAAAAACAGCAATAACAACAATAACAACAATAACAACAAGAAGAACAAGAACAACAACAACAACAACAACAACAACAACAACAACAACAACAACAACAACAACAACAACAACAACAACAACAACAACAACGACGATGACGACGACGACGACGACGACGACAACAACAACAACAATCATTTTAAGACTGTTCGCCCTTATATGCTCGAGTGTCCAATAACGCGTATTTCCCAAACCCTCGATACCCGCCCTCTTCGTCTTCGATCGAACCCCTTTTGGGGGGTATACCTTTCTTCCCTGCAGGCCGGGCCCCGGCAAGCGGCGGGGCGGCCGCGGACCGTCGGCCTGGCCAGCGGCAGCGCTGATCGGCGGGGCGGCCGCGGACCGTCGACCCGACCCCAAGAGGGACGGACAGGGGACCGACCACGACGACGACGACGACGACGACGACGACGACGACGACGTCGAAGACGACGGCGACGACGAGCGAAAGCGAGAGCGAGAGAGAACGACAGCAGGGCCACGAAGGGCACGAAGTAGGCCACGAAGGGCGACAGCGGGGACACGAAGGGAATGCGTATGGGGCCACGAAGAGTGCGAACGAGCGGGGGCCACGAAGTGCAGATAATGCGGGGCCACAGAAGGCAACTATGGGGCCACTGAGGGTAGCAACTGGGCCACGTAGGACAATAAGGGGGACACAAATGGCGACAGCGGGGCCACGAAGGGCATGCACATGGGGCCACAAGGGGCGCGACTCCTGGGTGCCTGGGTGTCGGGAGCGCGGCGCTTGGGCAAATTGCAGGAAATTTCAACGCAAGGCTATGCTTCAGTAAGTTGTAAGCAAGTCTCCAGCGAGAGCGCGACTCCAGAGCTCCGGGAGAGCGATTCCTGAATAAATTGTAAGGAGGTCCCCAGCGAGAGCGCCATTCCTGAATAAAATGCGAGGAAGTCTCGGGCGGGAGCGGGGGCCCTGGCTAAATTGGAAGGAAGTCTCAGGCGGGAGCGTTGTTGTTGTAACCCGGGGGCCAGGGGCCCAGTTTGAGCAGGAAGACTTTCCTTGTCAAAAAACAGGGTGCGAGCGTCGAGGGGCACACTTTGATTGAGAAAAAAACCTATGCACCGGTGGGGGGGGATCAACAATAATTATTCTTCAGAAATGAGAATGCAACAACAACAACAACAACAACAACAACAGCAGCAGCAGCAGCAGCAACAACAACAACAACAATAATTTCACCCTCATGCGCGATGTTTCCACACGAAGCATGCGACCATCATGATACCCATCCACGTGATGGGGGACTCTTGTTCTATAGCGGGGTCCGTTGTTCCCATTCCCAGATCTCCCGCCCAATGAAGTCTTGCAAACACCTCCTCCGAGGAATTTCAACATATCCCGCCTCGAAAACACATGCCCGCGCCTTGCTGCGCCGATGCGAGACCGCCAGTGGAACCCCAGCCAAGGGTAAAGCACAAGGAAGTATCGAACGACAGAATTGCCTTGGTGGGGATGGGGGCTGTCGGCGGCGAGGCAAGGACCTGGCCCTGAATAGAAATGGAAGAAGTCTCGAGCAGGGCTGCTGTTGTTGTTGAGAGCGGCGCCAATGCTGAAGAGAGTAGGGCGCTAGTCCAGCGTATAACAAAACGAAATCTCAAGCGGGAGCGCTGGTTTTGTTGTGACGGCGGCTTTCGGCGGCACACCGCCTTGAGTAAGAAAGGAAGAAGCATCGAGCGGGAGCCGTGGTTTTGTCCGGACGGGGGCTGTCGGCAGCGAGGAACAGCACCGTCCCGAGGAAAAAGAAAGGAAATCTCGAGCGGGAGCGTTGTTCTTGCGGCGCCAATTCAAAAAAGATTCGGGCGCCAGTCCAGCGAAAAACGGAAGGAAGTCTCGGGCGGGAGCGCTGGTTTTGTCGGGGCGGCAGTTTTCGGCGGCGAGGAGGAACACCGTCTTGAGTAAGAAAGGAGGCAGCTTCGAGCGGGAGCCGTGGTTTTGTCAGAACGGGGGTTGTCGGCGGCGAGGAAGAGCACCGTCTTCAGGAAAAAGGAAGCCTCGAGCGGGAGCGTTGTTCTTAATGGGAGCGGAGCCAATTCAAAAAAGATTTGGGCACCAGTCCAGCGTAAAACGGAAGGAAGTCTCGGGCGGGAGCGCTGGTTTTGTCGGGGCGGCGCTTTTCGGCGGCGAGGAGGAGCACCGCCTTGAGTAAAAAAGGGAGGACGTCTCGAGCGGGAGCGTTGTTGTTGCTGGGGGCGGCGCCGATGAGAGAAAGACTGGCGCGCCAGTCCAAGGTAAAACGGGAGGACGTCTCGAGCGGGAGCGCTGGTTTTGTTGGGACGGCGGCTTTCGGCGGCGAGCAAGAACACCAGCCCTGAACAAAAAAGGAGGAAGTCTCGAGCGGGAGCGTTGTTGTTGTTGGGGAGCTGGTTGGGGCGGTCCCCCAAACCGCTCGAGCGTGAGCCTCATTTTCAATGAAAATGTAGCCGGCGCCTCGGCGAGAGCGCCAGAGCGCCTTTAAGGCGTTCAAATATAATACATGTATTGTAAGTAACATTGAACAACAACAACAACAACAACAACAACAACAACAACAACAACAACAACAACAACAACAACAACAACAACAACAACAACAACAACAGCATCAATTTTGATTGTTTGTTCTTATTCGATCGCGTGCCACGCAACGCGTATATCCCAAACCCTCGATACCCGCCCTCATTGTC